TGAACAGAAGGGAGACTCCTCCTTTACTCGATTTTGCTGAGCTCGAATGTCTTCTATGGTGGTTGTCCAGGTTGCTATTGAGGTTGTTCATGTGTTGATGTTTGAAAGCCAGTATGATTCACGTGTTTCTGTGCATATATGATTTGTCCCCAATGATGGTATAGTTGAATTATGTAAGCTTACCTTGTGTCTGACTTGGTTTGCTTGGGGACAAGCAAACGGTTAAGTGTGGGGGAGTTTGATAAGCCGTTAATTGCACATGTTTTTACCCCTATTATGGAGCCATTTGAGCCGTTGATTCTCGTGTTTTAGGCCGATTTCACGCTAGATTGTGTTTGTTTGTGATATTTCATGTCCTAGCAAGTGAATGAAGGTTTAGGAGCGAGTTCGGGGTCGATTGGACGAAGATCGGGCGTGAGGCAAGTCACAAAGGAAGCCACACGGGCACACTCACAACTCACACGGCCGTGCAAGTGACCAATTTGGCCGTGTGGGATTGTGCGAGACTTCACACGGGCACAGATAATTCCCACACGCCCGTGTGAAGTTGCAATTTGGCCATGTGGAATTCTGCGAGGCTTCACACGGCCAAACTGGGTGAGCTACACGGCCGTGTGATCCTGGCCGTGTAGGAAGCCTGAAATCCAATTACTCGGAACGCGGCGTTTTGACCTCACACGGGCAACTGGGTATGCCACACGGGCGTGTGGCCTGCCCGTGTGAGTCGGGAATTTCTGGTTTTTACCCAATTTCGGGCTGCAAGTGAGAGAATGAGATTTTCAGAGCAAAAACAGAGCCCTAGAGAGAGAAAGTACGAAGAAAAAATCCTAGAAGCTATCTTGGAGTTGGGTTTCATCAAATCGAGCTTGGAGGTCGTCATAGGAGTGGAAATCATCATCCCAGAGCATATTCTTAACATTATTATGAGTATGACTGCTTTGTATTCTGTTTTCCCCTCTCTCTCTATGGAGTAGAACCCTTCTCTCACTTGGGTATGAAGAACCCTAGTTCCATGTGTTAGGGATTTGATTGTAATGACTTGGGATGATATTACTGCTTGGTTTTAATCGAATGATGCATGTTTATTGAGTCAATTGAAGTCTGATCAGCTTTTCATGATTTCTGCTGCAACCTGAGATAGATAGAATCTGATTAGGTTGTTAGAGCCTCATCATTCGGTAGTAGGAGATTGGCTATACGAGAGTTAGCCAGTTTACTGCTTTGTACTGGAATCCGATTCCAGTAGTGGAGTTCTGTGCTTATTTCTTCAGCTTTCTATCCCGATGAAGCCTAGTCGTCTGCCGGGTAGTTAGACTGAGAGGGCTTGGTCAGCTTAAGAGATTCCAAGCTACTGTCGGATCTTCCGCACTCTAATCAACAGTAAATCAACCCAGGGAAAATACAATTGAAACCTAACTAAGGAGCTAGGGGGACTCATTCCCGAGTGACTCTTCTTTGAGTAGCTGCAGGGAACAATGTTTCGTGTGCCTCAGAAGCTTTAACTGTCAACTCTTCAAGCATGAGGTTACTCTCGTCCTCGAGCATGTTTGTAACTATTTCCACAGTCCTGTTAAGGAAATAGTTAGTTTTCTGCCAATCCTTCTTCCACTCACTCAGCAGACGACCTTGCCAAAGCTCACAATAGTTGAGACATCCAACACTCCCAAATCTGTCATCACTATTTTGAATTAAAGAAACAATTCACCATTTGTACTTCTCGAAGTCGTACGTCCCTTCTAGCTTCTTCATAATGTACCGGGTCGCAAACTGGACAACCCTATTCCCAACCTCCACCAAGTACGGTGTGAATTTTCCCCCATAGGAATCCATAAACTCGAACTTATTGTCCTTCAAATTGACACAGAACAGAACATACTTGGTTTTTGTTTTGAATGGGAAGAACCACTGCACACATTTAAAGAAAACATTAGGCATAATATAATGAGTTAGCTCAACTGGTACATTTGAAGGACTAAACGATGTAAGTATCACTGATTTGGTACTTGTATGAGTTAAGTTATTACTACAACGACATTTTTACTTACAAACTTGCAATCACGCAATGAACGCTGATCCATCCACGTGTTATGCTCGAAAAGATTGCATGACTCGCCCCAATAATCTCCTTGTGTGTTCGCACCATCCCACTTCCCAAATGCACTCACGGCTGCATCCTCATATTTAATCAACACCTTTACCATTCGCTGCAATGTAAACATGAAAATGAAAATTGGTCAAAATAATGCTTACTAGTTTACATTAATTACACTCACAATAATATGTCAAGAGCAAGTGATAAAACATACCGCAAAGTAAGTTGGGAACACCCATCTAGTTATGGTGCCACTAAACCGGTACATGTACCACTACACTGGTACGTGTACCACTATACATTTATAAAAAAACCCAGAATATTACAAATAGAAGTTACCATGAATCTTACCTCTCTCAACAACAGGAGTGACCACAACGCCACCATCCGATACTACCACGGTACCATCCATGGTTTTCCCATCCTCCCCGACAGAACCACCTGCAGTTAGAAGTTATGTGCCATTAGAAATTACGTTCGTTAGACGACTGGTACATGTACCACTACACTGGCACATGTACCACTACACTGGCATAAAAAAACCCAGAATATAACAAATAGAAGTTACCATGAATCTTACCTATCTCAACAACAGGATTGACCACAACGCCACCATCCGAAACTACCACGGTACCATCCATGGTTTTCCCATCCTCCCCGACAGAACCACCTGCATTTAGAAGTTGTGTGCCATTAGAAATTACGTTCGATAGACGACGGGTACATGTACCACTACACTGGTACATGTACCACTACACTGGCACATGTACCACTACACTGTGAAAAAAAAAACAGAATATACAAAATAGAAGTTATCATGAATCTTACCTCTCTCAGACACAGGAGTGACCACGACAGTACCATCTGATTCTACCATAGTACCTTCCTGCCCGACAGAACCACCTGCAAATGAGAAAATGTGGGACATTAAAAACTATGCTCGTTAGGTGACTGTACACGTATCATTCCACTGGTACACATACCACTCCATTTGTATATGTACCACTCCACTAGTATCTAAATACAAGGATATACCCAGTAGAAGTTACCTTGATTATTATCTCTCTGGCCCACCGGAGTGACCACGACGGTCGGACTGAAAACATTAGCTTCATTGTCTACTCCATCTCCACCACTACCGACATCACCTAATCCATCGCCATCACCACCTTCACCAGTCCGATCACTTACGTGATCATCACGACCCTCTTCTTCACGATCCACCGGACTAAAAACATCAGCTTGATTGTCTACTCCATCACCATCATCTTCATCATCCCGATCTCTTGCTTGATCATCAGGACCCTCTTCTTCATCCTCATCACCTTCGTCATACCCATCAACCTCTTCTTCATCCTCATCACCTTCATCACCCTCTGGCGCACTGCCGTCGTCATCACTACCATCCTCATCTTCTTCAGTTGACTCTCCAACATTTTGATCTTGTAGTGCGGCAATGCGACTGTCGCATTCTGCTATCCGACGAGATAGAATAGACTGCTGGTATACAAAGCCCTTCCTGAGCCCGATAACCTGTACACACACAAAAAACATCGTTCGTTAAATATAGAAATAAAAATTAAAGAACATTGGTACATATACCAGTTCAGTGGTACATGTACTAGTTCAGCGGTATCTTACCTCTGAAAGATTCATTGCCCCGATTCCTAGACTCTCAAGATTAGGGGACCCCTCGTTGGTCACGCTCTGCACAGCCTCTAATCTCCTTGTCATCATGTCCCTTATACGTGTGGAGGTGTCCTTCTTCTTCCTCCCAGCAAGTGGCTGAATGTAAGGAGCAAAACCCAATGATGAGTAGGCAACCATCAATTCGACCCGTCTGTTGAAGCATGCAGTATGTGTCCAATTCTTGCACGAAGGAACCATAGTAGTCATCTCTTGACTGTTAACGGTCCTATCTAGGTACCACACCATCAACAAATGTAGATCTCCATTTGTATATTCTGTAGTCTTATTCTGCCGAAATGATTGCTCCATAAAACTCCACAGATAATGGCACCAGTTGTATTCAGCAAACTCATTAAACTCATCATCTTTTCGATACGCCAACACCGAAGATTCAGCAACATTCTTGGTGCTTGGTTTGAACAGGTATCCAAAACAGAACATGACAAACAAACGTAACCACAGTTTGTCATCCTGAATTGTTGGTAATAGCTTTTTCAAAGCCCACAGCTTGTGCCAATCTGGGTCTTCTCCTTCCATACCATGGAGTTCATCACGCAACTCCTTGCACTTGTCCCAATCAAAAGTCGTCACCGTCTTTTTACCCCTAGGAAGTCCATAAACTCGATGAACATCATCAACTGTAAATGGCAATGCAGTGCCATCATCCATGATGATGGACATTGTATCCGCATTGAACTTGTTCACCAACCAATTCAAAAGCGGCTTGTCAAACCTCCTCATTTGCAGCTCAAATACAACACCCAAACCCAGCTTCTTCAATATAGCCCTTCTCTCGTTTGACACTCCATCATTCACCACTTCAATTATAGAGTTAGGGCTGCACTTTTTGCCGGATACATCATCAGTACGATTCCTCTTGTTCCGACCTTGTCCTGCTTTTTCCTTGCTCTTACGGGGTCGTTTCTTGCTGGTACCCTCACTAGAGGAACTAGACTGATTTACCCCAATTTCAACCTGCCTGGAAACATAGGTTGCAGGCTTCTTGCCAGCAGCCTTCTGGCCCCCAGGATTCTGCCTCGCAAGTTGATTGCCTGCTGGCATCTCAGGACCCGTTCTCTTCGTCCTTGCCATTCCTGGTTTCATTGGAAGATAAGTCAATACTACGAACTAACAAAAGTACCAGTGTAGTGGTACTTTAAAGAACCAATTTTTTTTTGTAAATATCACTGCAGTGATAGCCCTATAAACATAAACTTTACAACTAACTACCACTTTAGTGATATTTGAACCACTTCAGGGATAAATCTACCACTGCATGTGAAGGATTTACCACTATAATGATAGATATACCACTATAGTTATACATCTACCACTAGAGTGATATACCTACCACTACAGTGATAGAACTACCACTACTTGAACTACCACTGCCCAAAAAAATCTACAATTTTCGTGCAATACCGTATTGAAAGAGACGACAAGAATAAAAGCATTCGTGACGTGAATTGTTATCGTTCAAGTATACTTGCCTCACTTTAGGATGAATGGAAGCGGAAAATCACGCCGGCGCCCCTATCGGCTTATATAGCCTCTGTCGCTGCTAGACTATCGTCGACGGGAATCGATCAAGCGGGTTCGAAGTCAATGGTTCGGGAGGAAAGACAGACGACTTCCGATGGGAGGGATGAGCCGACCGCTTTTTGTGAAGGAGATGATGGTTTACGGCGGGGGTAGTGATTTGATGAGTCGGCGGCGAAGGGTTGCGGGCGGGTTCTGAAGTCGATGGTTCGGGACGAAAGACAGACGACTTCCGACGTGAGGGATGGGCCGACCGCTGTTTGTGAAGGAGATGAGGGATGGTTTACGGCGGGGGTAGTGATTTGATGAGTCGGCGGCGAAGGGTTGTTTGCGGGTTCTGAAGCCAGAGATATAGAAGGGGAAGGAAACTGAAACGGTGAAATTAAAAAAAGATAAGGGGGAATGAATAATTATGAGTGGGGGAAGGAACCCACTGTTTACTTCTTTCTCTTTTTCGATGTAATTAATTACTGAATTAATTACCAATCACCAACTGTTTGCAATGACCATTAGATTAAGACTATCTAAAATGGACAGTAAACAAAGTGGGTGTCGAAAATCACTACCCTTTAGGGTAGTCAAACTAACCGAACCCATCCCAAGTCTATCCACAAGTAGAAACACACTTTAAATGGAGCTGGAATGCAGCAACACAACACTGCATCACCGATAAGCATTGGAAATGCTGGAATCGTTCCGATAGTCAAAATACAAAGAGCAAAATAAACATGAGAAAGAAGTTATCTAAGCGCAGAGTAGTAGAGTTCATCAAGCAAAGATAACATTATCAACCGCAAAAATCGCCTCCGCGCCGCCGATGATCCATCCTCATTACAGCAACCCTAATAAACGTCGTACCTTAATTGACACGCCGTGGCATTGAACTGAGCTCCCACCCGCCGCGGACATTTTTCGAGGACCTTCTTCGCCCCATCCTTGAGACACTTGGCGCAAACCGCCTTCGACACATTCTTCATGCAGGCACCTTGACCGGACATGATTGGGTGGTCAATTTCGGGAAATTTGATAACCTTTGCGTAACTTTTGCTCTTGCTGACCTCGTCGCCGAGCTCTTCCAGCACGTGCCTCACGTAACTGTCGGTCGGGTACACGGTCGTGTAATTGGTCTTGTTGCACGCGACGCCCGCCTTCGGCTTCAATTTAATCGGCGGGGATCCCACCGGAGACATGCTGTCGTCGTCTTCGTCGGCTTTGATTCCGTGGATTGAGCTGAAGAAGAAGATGATGATGAAGACCACCGCTGACATCATTAGCCGACTACCCATCCTCGTTCTCCTCTGTTTTTCTGGATTCCCCTGTTTTTGGACTTGCTCTGTTTTCCTCCTTTTTCTTTCTTGGATCACTTGCTCTGTTTTTCACACCTTCTAATCTATTGGGATGCCTTTTAAAGAGTAACTCGAATAGGTAAAGATGAGGCTTTTTGAAGTTTTGTGACGGTGGGAGAGTTGATCTTGGTGAAACGCAACTAAGAGTGCACAGCTCAGCTAGCAAGACGAGGGAAACTAGAAGCTGTGGAAGAGGGAGAGAACAGTGAGATGGCAGAGTTTAGGCTGTCAAATTTTGTGGATATGGAAAATGACAGGGTGTAGAAATTAAAAACAAAAAGTTTCGAATAATAGTTGCAGACTTGATGCTTGCAGGATTTTCCTCATGACCGGATTACGTAGTTAGATTGAGTGTTCGGCGATTTATACCTGTTGTATGGATTCTTTCTATGCTAACCAATTCATAGTTGTTGCTGATTGGAGGAAAATTCAATTCTTGTATTTTAGGTTTGACCATATGTGGGGATCGCCGGCGGGATGAAGCCGGATTATTAATCTAGAGGGCGGAAGCCGGAAACTGGTAGGACTCTCTTTTTTGTCTTTTCGCAGGAGAAGGAGATGGGCCGGGTACCCAACCTTTTTATCAAATCAAATTACGACTCAGCCAACTGTCAGCCCACAGCCCGCCATAGCATTCAAAAAGAGCTGGGCCGGATATCAAACCATTTATTTAAAGTCTGTTGAATTTGGGCCCTAGGACCTTGACCAAGTTGTTCGTATTCTAACTTCTCAGCCCACAGCCCAGCAAGACTAGGGTTTCACTTCCTCCGATATATAAACGTAGGAAACCTCTCGTTTCACTTTCCTATCCGTCAGTCTCATTCTTCAAACAAGGGTTTATCCAGCGGAAGCAAAGCAGAGAAGAGAACCAGAGAGAGGATTCGCTAGCTTCATCACCATGAGAGCCAAGGTATGCTCCCGATCTTGAAATCCAAATTAAGTTTCAAGAACTTGATACTCGATCCATCGGATTCGTTGCTGATTTACTTCCTTTCTGTTTATTTTTTTGGGGGGTGTTTTTCCAGTGGAAGAAGAAGCGTATGAGGAGGTTGAAGAGGAAGCGCCGAAAGATGAGACAGAGATCCAAGTAGTCTGCTTCCTTTCAATAAACCAAGTGAACGTAGCTTATCGATCTAGGTGGATTTCTGCATTTCGTTCTTCCTTTTCCCTGTTTTTGTGAGATTTGAAAAAACCTGTTATCAGTAGAGAGCTTGATTGATGTTTTGGATTTGATATTTCAGTTGGATACAGTTTTGTTTACAACAGTTTTATGGAATGTTTCTTGTTCAATATCCGTATGGGAAGCTGCGCTTGTTCTGCTTATACAAGTTTATGGTTTATTGCGTTTTCTTTCTCGCATTTTGTGGTATCCTTTTGTCTCCAATGGTTGTCCCGGATCTTGAAGAAACTTGGTGGTAGGTTACTGGTGGATTTGATTCCTTCCCGTCAACTGATTTTGATTCATGGTGAATTGAGTAGTATATTGCTGTTGAAATGTGTGCTTTGAGCTCAGTGGATATTGGCAATGGTCCAAGTTTGCACTGCCAGATTTTGTGATTCTTCTGTTTTTGTTGGAAGAATGAATGTTGTGTAGTTCTTGGTTACAGCAATGATGACTCATGATTGTTATGTCGACGACCATTGTAGTAACCAATAGCTGTGCTGTGCTTATGAGCAAGTTTTGCTGATGTTCTCTAGATTAGTGGTCATTCCTATTCATTGGAGGAGTTTCATAGACTTCTTTCAAATGGAGCTTTACTCTGCTGTGTCCTACTACAATCCACCAGTAATGTATTTTCAGGGTGTCGCTGGGGATGGCGTACTTAATCGTAGGTTTTACTTTTTAGCTGTGTTGGGTGTGGGATGCAGCTTTGTGAGATGGTTTGGTTGCTGTCTGCAATTTCCAGTCATCCAGAAATCCAATTTGTTTACGTCCTACCTACGTGTGAAGTTCTTTGTTAGGTATTGCATTCTAGGCCTCTTGGTATCCGAAAGATGACCAGTAACTGGATTGTGCCTCCTGGATTTTTAATCTTTTGTTGAAATGATGGTTGTACATATTAGTTAATTTCTGATGAGGATTAGGGTTTCGAGAGCTGGAGATTAGTGAGGTTGGTGAAGTTATAGAAAACAGTTCTGGAGAACTGTTTTAGCCCGTTGAGCTACCGAGTGCTAATCGATTGAGAAGTGTCGAATATTTGAGCATCTACTGAGTGCTAATCGATTGAGAAGTGTTCAAATATATGAGTCTCAAATGTTCACTATTCTCTTTCTGTTAACACCCATTCCTAAGAAAAATAGTACTTCGCCGAATGGTGCCTAAAGGTGAAGTTGTTGAATGGTTTGTACAAACTTGAGTTGCACAAACTTGGTATCTCTTTTTTTTTTTTTTCCTTCTGGAACACCTCCAACTTACATAAGTTTGCCATCCAAACTAGTAACAAGAAAATTTAGTTGAATGATATTCGTGGAAACGGTGTTTCGTTGTTTTTGTAATTAGTTAGTTAAAGTCTTTGGAAATGTAGTTAAGTTTTAACGTGCGATTGCCATATAAAAGGTTAATCAAAATCTCAATGCTTATGTCAACACTCAGTCAGACTCGAGTACAAGCCTATACTTGGACTTTCCGTCTTCCTTCCCCCTAACAAAACCTAATCTTTGAAGATCTTTGTTTTGAAAGCAAAAGCAGCCATTCAAACTTTTCAACATTGTGTTGCTTTCGTTGTCCACATCCCATGGGTTACCTAGAGAAAGGACTGCTTGTTTTGTCTACTCGACAACAAAACACACCTAAGCCTTATCGACATGAACAAAAGTTCGTACTAAACATTCAGAACTTCTGTTGGTGAACAGAAAAAAAATGAGAGTCGCTCTGTCCTCTCTCTTCGAGCTGGGAAGTAGGCTTGGCCGCCTCCTGTTCTGTGTGGTGGTGGTCGTCCTCCGCGCTAGTCTTCTAAACCAAATGTCAACAGGAAGGACTAGTAAGCAAGGAGATGGTGAAGATAGCCGAGCTCAATCCGTTCCGACGGAAAATATGGGGGCGAAGTTTGGCACGAGAATGGACCGTGGTGTTAAGCGGGGCCTTCGTGCGACCTTACGCCCTACAAGTTCTGTGCGAAGTGGTAAAAAACGTAAACATAGGGATGGGAATGGTGAGATATCCAGTGTCCCCAAGAAACATAGGGTTTCTAAAATTAAAGGATGGCGATTTTGGTTACCATCGCCGTCGGATTTGGAGAAGGAAGTATCATCGCACGCCAGTGTGGATGGTGGTTGGTTGAGAGTGCTTGAGCAGAGAGTTTATGCAAAATATACAACAAGAAAATTTAGTTGAATGGCAAACTTATACAGCAATTCACTCGTCAAGATGATCCCTGCTATGGGGGAGACACCGAAAGTGGTAGAGCTCGGCCTGGTGGATGCCGACGCCGGTGAGAAGCCTTTGGGTCGATAGGAGGGGAAAAAGGAGAGTCCGGGTGAAATTCCCATATCTCGTCCAGATCCCATAACCCACGGAGAACAGAATAATTCTGATCCCGAATTCCGTGGAGGGGAGATCACCCGTGATCCGATGGATAACGGCCAAAATAAGATACAAAATATACAACAATCCCAACTACAGTATTCTTGTTCCTCTCAAACTCTTCTAGGGCTAGGGAAGCCGGGTACGGGGATTTGTGGGCTTGTGGGGTTAAAGTCCCCCTATAAAAGAAATAGTCGGCAGTGGGTATTATCACCTCAAAAAAGAAGTGAAACCCAAGTATTGAGTAAAAGACTTGCTCTCCTGCCATCTTTGCCCCAAATCGCCGGTGATAGATACCCAGGTAAGGGATTCATTCGTGCCCTCCTTCCCTGTGGGACTTTCCCCCTATTACCTCGTTCGAATTTATTGTGGCATCCGCGGACTGACGCGAGGGAGGGATTGGTACCGCAGACCAATACCGAAGAAGGTTGCCGACTGGAAAATATTACAACTACCTCCCAACCTGTGACTTTGTTTCAGGCTGCCAATATGGCTCATATCACGGAGGACCAAGTTGTTCAGTTTTCCCTTGAAGACGTTCAGTCGGTGAGATTTCGTGCATCCCGAACTCTGTTGGGTAGAGTTTTCCAGGAGGCTGCTATGACACTCACAGAGCTGCGTGAGGCTGTCAACTCACACTGGCAAGGACGCGGCCAGATTCGTGTCTCCCAGGCGAAGCATGGCCTGGTTGAATTCGTCCTGCCTAGCACTGAAGCTAAAATATGGGTCCTGAAATGGACACCTTGGGTTGTGAAAGATACCCTCATCAATCTGCGATCATGGATTCCTAACGTCACCATAACGACATTTGATGAGTTGGCCATAGCACTGTTCCAGATTCAACTCTGGGGAATTAAGGAGGACTGTTGTACGAAACAGTTCGGCCAAAAATTAATAGCTCCAACCATTGGCCAAGTCTTGGAGGCTGGGGTTTTCGCTAGTAAAGAAACCTCGGAATACTTTGTGAAGGTTCGAGCCATGGTTGACTTTGCTAAACCATTGCAGTCCCAACTTTTTGCGGCCAGTGAGGAGACTGAAGGTTTTTAGGTCTCACTCAAGTATGAGTTCCTGCCCAGTTTTTGTTTCCATTGCGGGAGAGTAGGTCACATGCAGCGGGAATGCCTCTATGACCCCCCGAATAGAAAAAAGAAATTTGGATCGCATATGGTATCAAAAAAACCGAGGAGAAGAATTTTTTAGGAGGACCTATGTCTGCCTTTGCCGGGGCCCCAAAGTCGGTTTGGGCGAATAAGTTGACTCGCGAAGCTGGGGGGGCCAAAAGAGAGAGCTCTCGCCCCACCATGCATCGGAGGGATGACATCGAGTTGGCTGGGCATAAGCAGGAGCAATGGCGACACCAACAAACCCGGCGGGAGGACCGTGAAACAGGTGGGAGTGATGTCCAGGGGGTGACTGCTGGTCAAAAGCCAGCAGGGAGAAGCAGCCCCCGTGGCTTTCATGTGGCCAAATCCCCTCGCATTCGTGCAGGGAAGGGTAGCCGTCGGGCGGCACAAACCCAACCGGCCTGCCACATGATGGGTGGGGCTGCCCGTGTTCGAGCGCCTGATAACCGGGACAGGAAGAAGCTCCGCCAACATCGGATTCAGAGAGGGAAAAAGGGTAGAGCGGAACTAGCGGTGAGGGCGGAGTCGCGGCGGAGGAGGCTTATCCTTGAGGTGGAGTCTGAAGAGGAGTTCGAGGTTCAGAACATGGCTCCCACTGCTCCCAATATGATGACTGGGGACGAGGTAGCTGCCAAGGTGCAGGTGAGCTGTCCCATGCAAACACAACAGTTGGATGTCGTGGGGAAAGGGGCTGCTCCCAAGTTGGCTGCTGATAAACTGGGTGGTGAATCCAGTGTCGCTGCTCGGCCGAAAAAGGAGATGACCCTTAAACCACGCAAGCGGCTGACCAAAGGCAAGGGTGTGGGGGATGGAATTATAGCGACCCGGGCAGCTAAGATGAAGGGGACATGCTCCGATCCTTGCTTGATTGCTGCCAATCCGTCGCAAGGAGTAAGCCCAAATTCGGCCTGCGGGCTGGGGGTATCTGCGGAGCTGCACTCCCCGTCGGAGGATGACGCTGGTGCATTTGAAATCAAAAGACGCGAGCCGGCGGTGGGTGGGAAGCATTATAGTGGAGTTGGGAAGGGTCGTGTCCGCCAAGTGGTAGCTGCATTCGAGTTAGGCCTTAATATCACTACAGGGGGGAAATCCCCAATTGGTGATATTTCAGGGGGCCAATTCTCGGGATATGGTACAACGTCAAGCTCTACTTTGGATGAATATGGCTCGAACCTGCCGAACCCGGTGTTTGGAAATCGGAAGCGGCCTCTAGTTGATGTGGCGGGATGCATGGAGGTACCTCCCACACCAAAAAAAAAATATTGAGGAAATGGAGAAGATTGAATCGGTGGAGGAAGCCAGCTGGGAATGGCCTCAGCCGGATAAATGAGGCTTTTGGCCTGGAATGTGAGAGGATTTGGACCATCTCTCACATTTCAAACTGGTGTAGGTTTAGTACATTCTAATAAACCGGATCTTGTGTTCTTCTCGGAGACACGATCGAGCCGGCGTGTTGTTTCTCGTCGTATTAGGGGATTGGGGTATTTGATTGATCATTGTTTTTTTGTAGATGCGGTCGACGCATCGGGTGGGTTAGTAGTAGCTTGGTCCCCCGAAGTCAATGCTTCGGTGTTTTATCGTTCAAATTTTTGTATTGGTGTTCGCATTATTGAAGGAAATTCTCAGTACATCGTGTTCTGTGTTTACATCAGTTGTCAAACTAATACTCGATCACATCAATTGGCTCAATTGTTTGCGATTTGTGATGATGTCCAATTGCCTTATGTGGTCATTGGGGACTTCAATATCACGTTACATGAGAATGAGAAGGATGGCGGTAATCCGTGGAGTGCGTCTCAGTGTGTTGCCTTGCGTGAGTTTGTCCAGGACCTAGGCCTACATGACCCTGGGTACCAGGGTGACCTTTTCACCTGGACAAATAAGCGTATGGGGCCTGCTTGTATCCGGGAGCGCCTAGACAGAGCTCTTTGCTCCCCATGTTGGATGGAGCAGTTTCCTGATACCCTGGTGAAGCATTTCACGGATCAGGGGTCGGATCATCGGGCGTTGCTTTTAGCGGACAAACCTTATGTGCGAAATTGTCGACCTCTGTTTCGTTTTGATGCTCGTTGGGCCGATAACCCGGAGGTGAAGGCCATGGTTTCCTATGAGTGGAATGAGCCCATCATCGGCACCCCAATGTACCTACTCTAGGAACGGTTAAAGAAGCTTAGACACCTCCTCTATGACTGGAGTAGGGCGGGGACGACGAATTCCTTGCGGAATATTCGTACTCTCCAAGCTGAAATTAAGCGGATAAAAGCTATACATCCGATTAACTAGGATGAAATTCGTACACTTGAGGAGGAGCTTAGTAGACAATGGGAGGCAGAGGAAGTGTATTGGCAGCAAAAATCCCGGGTCCGATGGCTGAAAAGAGGGGATAAAAATTCGTCATATTTCCATACAGTCACGAGAACCCGGCGCAAAAGGAATTTTGTTCATGGTCTCCGCACGGAGACGGGTGAGTGGGTTACAGAGGAGGCTGGTAAAGCAGAAATTGCTGGCAATTTCTACCAATAATTGTTCACCTCCGAGAACCAGGTACCAGATGTGGTGGATAGGGTGGTTGCGCTCCCTATTGATAGGGCTGTGACCCCGGAGATGAATGACCGTTTAACGGCTGCAGTCTCTCCGGATGAAGTGCGTCGCACAGTGTTTTCAATAGGGTCGAAACAGGCACCGGATTCTGACGAATTCACGGGGAAATTCTTTAAGACTTTCTGGAATATTGTTGGTGAATCGGTGGTTGAAGCAGTTTGCTCTTTCTTCGTGACAAGTAAGATGCTGCGAAGCTTCAACCATACTTGGCTGACTTTGATCCCTAAAGTGGACAATGTGGAAACTATGAAGCAATTGAGGTCCATCAGTCTGTGCCAGGTCGTGTACAAAATTATTTCCAAAATAATGGCTTATCGGCTTGCTGTCATTCTACCAGAATTTATTTCGGAGGGTCAAAATGCCTTTATTCGTGAGAGGCAAATTGTGGAAAATATCCTCCTGAGGCATGAATTAATGCATTACCTGAAAATCAAAAACCGCGGGAAGAAAGGGTTTATGGCTCTGAAGGTTGACATGGAGAAGACCTATGATAGAGTTGAATGGCCATTTCTGCTAGTGGTTTTGGATAAGATGGGTTTTAATGCTACCTGGAGAGGGTGGATTAAGGAGTGCCTAAGGTCAGTCTCTTTCTCAATTATTATGAATGGGAATCCGACAGGGTTCTTTGCTCCATCTAGGGGGCTTAGGCAGGGTGATCCGCTATCCCCACTATTGTTTGTCATTTGTACCGAGGGGTTTACGGCGCTCCTTCGTAAGGCCATCTCCGAGAAAAGACTTGAAGGGGTGAAAGTGGCTCCTCGTGCTCCATGGATTTCTCATATGATCTTTGCGAACGATTCGTATTTATTCTTAAGCGGGTCCCTCCAAGAATGTGAGAATCTGATTGTGGTCTTGAATGAATATGAGGAATTAAGTGGGCAACGAGTCAATCTGGCTAAATCAGCGGTATGCTTCAGCAAAAATATAGCATTACCGGATCATGAGTTTTTAGCCCAGATTCTCGGAGTAGGGGCGGTAAGGGTGCATGATAAGTACCTGGGGTTGCCAACGCTTATTGCTAGATCTAAGATGGAAACTTTTCGGTACTTGGAAGATAAATTGTTGGAACGGTTGCAGGGGTGGAAGCAGAGAACGCTTTCTTGGGCTGCGAAGGAAACATTGATCAAGGCTATTGCGATGGCGTTGTCGTTACATGTGTTGTCCTGTTTTAAGCTTCCTCTCTCCCTTTGCTGGTTATTGGATAAGCATGTGGCTCCCTTTTGGTGGGGTACATCTGAGGGGCATCCCAAAATCCACTGGATGTCATGGCGGAATCTTTGCCGTAGCAAGCATGAGGGGGGATGGGGTTCTGTCGCTTTGAGCAGTTTAACCAGGCCCTTCTTGCTAAAATTGGGTGGCGAATTCTGATAAAACCTCAATCCCTGCTAACTCAGGTGTATAAGGGGAAGTATTTCCCAAGCGGAACGTTCCTTGAGGCTACGGCGCGCTCCCAACCATCCTGGGGGTGGACGAGCATTCTTTATGGCCGAGAGCTTCTTGCAGTTGGGCTGCGCTGGCAAATTGGGAATGGTCAGATAGCTCCTCTCCTCCAGTCCAACTGGATTCCAGGCCTCCACCCAGAGTCCCCTGTTTATAATCTCCGGGTGTCGCTGGAGGGACAGGGTCCTAGGGTGGCTGAGGTCATTTGTCAGGGAGAGGGGAGGTGGTGTGCTGATAGCTTAAGCCAGTGGTTTGATCCAGGTACCTGTAGGGCCATAAGGGCTATCCCGCTTCCTCGGCAGGCAGTGGAAGACAAATTAATTTGGCACGCCACGCCGGATGGGGTTTTCACGGTGAAGTCGACTTATCATCTTGCGGTTGCTCTTGACAAACGCTCTGGCCGGTGGCGTGACACTGTTAGTTGGATGGATAGGGGTAGTTGGATAAGGTTATGGGATGCCAATATTCCGCCAAAGCTGAAAATTTTTTCTTGGCAAATTTTTAATCGCATCCTGCCGACTATGGAGGCCCTTGTTGAAAGGAACGTGCCAGTGATGCCACGTTGCCCGGTTTGCTGGGGGGAGCTGGAATCCTTGTAGCATTTGTTCCTCTATTGCATAGTGGCTCGAGCTATGTGGGATTATTCTGGGCTGGAGTACCTGGGTGAGGGGCTGCCCAGGCATACTTTCCCCTTGTTTCTAAAACGGTTAATGTCCCTTATTCATCAACCTTCTCTGTTCATGGCTGTGATTGCCATCCTCTGGCGGATTTGGAAATCCCGTAACTGGGTGGTCTTTGAAGGGAAGCAGTTTGGGGTTTTGCCTCTTATGCGTCAGTTTCACCAACAATATGATGAGTGGATGAGCCTACCGGTAGATCCGTCTCCAATGGTGGCGGCGACCGCCTCATCGCACCCTTTGGCCCTGCATGGGGGTTCGGGGATTGTGTGTCGATGGGATGGTGCGACTAGAACTGGCTCCTATTCTGCGGGTGGTATGTTTGTACTAAGTTCAGAGAATGGGGTCCTGATGGCGAGGGGGGTCCAGTTCCTGCATATTTATGATCCTTTGGTGGTCGAGGTGCTTGCGTTGCGAGAGGCTATGCTATGGTGTCTGGCTCGAGGATTCAGGGAGGTATGTTTTGAAGGGATGCAAAGGTGATTATTGACAAGATTCACCAAGGGGATGGTCGTGATAGTAGGATGGGGGCTGTTCTTCAGGAGGTGGTATACTTGTTTGCCCTTAATCCGAGATTGAGTATTCGATTTGTAGGTCGGAGTAGTAATAGGGTAGCCCATTTGGTGGCTAGAAAGGTCCTTTCTTTGTACCCGACTACCTGTCATTATTTTGATTTTCAGGCCTGGCTGAATTCCAGGATGTAACTGCCTTGTGTTTTTATTAATATATATCTTTTGTAAAAAAAAAAAAAAACATGAACAAAAGTTCAGTAAAAGAAAGAGATAAAATGACTTCATTTTACTATAGTCCATTAATAATTTACTACTACTACGTAACTGATGAAGGTGAACCATACAAGATGCGGTTTTGACTTTTAAAAACTTGGTACGATGTTTTGATCAACACCCTCATTGACGTTTCCTCAAATCTATTGGTAGTTTCTCTGCGTGGTGCCAACAAGTCCCGAGATTTCCCTCTCTTTTGACAAGAAAATTTGAAAACTCCTGAAAATGCAGAGCATCATATTTGCCATTTCTCAAAAAGATTGAGCCATTGTCATCGAAATGATTGCAGGTTGTGACATATAAGGATTCTGCCACAAATGCAGCAACTGAAATTTGTTGGTGGATCGACGCACTTCCCATTGTAAATGTAATGATGGGTGTTTGATTCCCAGGCTGCCTCTAGTAGCACCATGTAAACAAAAATAAAAAAAGGCAACTGTTGATATTCCATATACGTATGTATGTTTCTGTCTAACAACACAAAATAAGCTTGAAAGATGTAAAATCAATATACATGTACTGCAGAACCTGAAACTATTAGTAAATCGATCAGAACTCGTTAAAGTGGATGGCACCAACTTTCCAGACAAGGAAAGTGGTGGCAAACATGACGGTGCTGATGAACACAAACGAGAAGGCAATGACCAGCAGATCATTACCCCCCGGGAAGTCAAACGTCCATCCCGGATTCGGCATCCCTCTCTTGGCATCATCCAACATGTTGGTTGGTGCTTCAGGGAGTCTTGATCTCTTCTTGCCCTTATCACTCTCCCTCAAAGCATCAAGCACTTTCTTCCCCATGTCTGGCTTGGTTGGCTTCTTTTCCGGGTATCGACTGAGGACTCGAGCGGCCTTCAATCTCTCCCTAGCTGTTAGTGGTGATGATCTTTTGGGCCTTGGTTGCGGCGGTGCTGGTGCTGGTGCTGGTGGTTGACCTTCTTCAGGGGAGGCTTTCAATTGCTCAATGGGGACGACTGGATTGAGTTTGTTGGTGTCGGTGGTAGCTCGATCGTTATCTGCAACCCAACGTTGTAGCTTTGATGTGGAGCGAAATGTTGCCAACGGGTGTGAGAATGCGGGCAAAGACATGGCTGGGGATCTAAAGTCATGCTGCCGATGCTTGGCTTGCAGCTTCAAAGAGGAAAAACAACAACAACAAGAGTAAGAACAAAGGACAAATTTCATATAATTTTTTCCATGCCTACCTACAATACAAGGTCAGTTTTCCTTTCCATCTAATTTGTCCTTCATTCACGCATATAGAAAGAAGCACCAAGTTCATTTCTTAAAAGTTGTAGAAACATTTCCGAACAAGCGTTGTGCTGGAGCATGATTACTGGCAGAAGACACCAATTGAACAACTTAATTTCAACAAGAGAGGCACAGAAGAAAGCTGAAAACTTCAAGGGAACAGTGATGAATGAACATTTTGTTTGTTGGACCAAAGTGGAGAAATTTACTCCTAAACCACTACTGATGCCCATTAGATATGAAGAATTCATTGATCTAAATCAGGAGGATTTCCCAGGGCAACTGCCATGGCGCAGGTAGCAGCACAACTCCTGAAATCTCTTCCAAATTTTCATATGGAAGGGGAAATCAAAGAGTTGTTTTTTCGTACCATGAGCTTCACTAGTCTTAGACATTATGGAGTGAGGGTACGCGACAATGAGGAAATATGTTTCGAGCCAAGATTGATGGTTAGTTCGAAAAGGAAAGTAGAGCAGAGAAACAGGGTGGAACATGGAAGTAAAGCATACCGTGGCGTTGAACCCAATGACTGAATTCAATGAAACTGCCATGACGGGTTTCTTCGGTGGGGAAGCGTTCCGGTCAAGGCCCAACCATAGGCGACGGCGACGGCGACGGCGACGGTGGACGATAGCACAGAGGGAGCGTTTTTGGTTGGAAAAACTCAAAAAAGGCTTTCCTCTGCCTCTGGGTTCGTGGATTTCTGTTTGTGGCGAGACACTGGTGCGTGTGTCCGAACTCCGAACGGGATCAGGGAATATCGACTTATCTTCTATGGCTCCCACTCTCCGCTCCAGCACGTCTGCTGACGCGCTCTTCCTTTTATTTCTATTACACCCTTTAACTTCATAATTTTTTTTTTAATATTTTTGTATGGCCTGAACTTTGACCAAAATAAACATCTTGGTCAATCTTTTCGATCTATAACATCCTGGCCCGAACTATACACCAAAATAAACAATTTGGCCAGATCCGACTTTTGACCGTTAACTTGGACGGTCAAACGCGTTGACCGTTAGTCAACGCGCCATGTCATTGCCAAATCAGCATAAAATATTTAAAATAATTCACAATTTCCACACATTTCCTAATTTTAAATTATTATAAATTAAAAAAAATCATCTAATACCTTAGTTAAACCAAAAATAAAAAACGAAAAAAATTAAGTATTTATCAGATCTTCTGACTTGGCAGTGACATGGCGCGTTGACCGTTAGTCAACGCGTTTGACCGTCCAAGTTAACGGTCAAACATCGAGTTTGGCCAAATTGTTTATTTTGGTGTATCGTTCGAGCCAGGATGTTATAGATCGAAAAGATTGGCTAGGATGTTTATTTTGGTCAAAGTTCAGGCCATACGAAAATATTAACCCTTTTTTTTATAAACTTCATAATTTCTTTATTACCACGAATAATGGTAATATCTCAAGCACATTCAATATCGACAAAATATGATAATTTTTTAATTATAATTGTTTGTACCATCTAGCTCCGGTATGAACAATGATATTTGTTGGTGTGGGGTTGACTCACGATCCGTTCGTCTGATCTCCTCGGGAGGGAAGAAACCTGTGAAAGAGTCGGGGATGCCCCCCGGATTAAGCTCCGACGATCAAGTTAGTTTCAGTTTCAGGAGAGAGTTGAGAGAATAAGGTAGAGAGATGAGGTGTAGAGAGATAGTGGAAAATAGAAAGTGAGGAGATAGGAGAAGTCCCCTTCCTTGGAGGGTTTCATACCTCTATATACTCGTAGCGAGTTTCGAGCATCATATGTTGTCGATTGGACGCGCTATTACTTAGTCCGTACGTGGAGTATCTTAGTAACACCCCCAACAATTAGGGATGGCAATTTCGATCTGACCCGTTTTACCCGACCTGTTTGACTTGCTTTGGGGCGGGTCCGACCCGCCCCGTAGGCGGGGCAGGCATGGGTACCTCTCATCGACCTGACCTGCCCTGACCCGCCCCATTCTTAACCCGTTTTTCCCTAAATTACATGTAATCTTAGTCAAATTATTTAGGATTTTCATTTTATTATCTTATATTTTAGTTATAATAAACTTGTAAATAAGTGAAAACCTTAATTTCTCCAATAATTTAACTACATTTCATCATATTATGGTTTCTTTCTTGGTCTTTTAATGAAAATAACGAATATTTCTAATGTTTTTCACATAAATTAGATACCCATTGGGTCGACCTGCCCCGGCCCGCGCCCCGAGATAAAATATCCGACCTAGACCCGACCTGCCATGGGGCGGGTATGGGTATCGAGATACCTGCCCCGGACCTACCCCATTGCCATTCCTACCAACAATTGCCCCCCAAGCTGGTGGTGAGTTTTAACTCATCACTAGCTTATTATTTATTTATATTTTAAATATTCGTCGGTAATTTTGGGTGGAGCCCTATGTACCCCCAGTTGTCCCCCAGCAGGTGACGCGTTTGGATGACGTGGTGCCAGCTTCCTGCGTCATGCCCCCCCAGTTGGTGTATTTCATTAAGCCGTTGAGAGCTCTTCTATTGGAATCTCCAAGGCGCTGAGCAATTGCTTGTTGAAAATTTTCCAAGGTATTAAGCACTCTCTTATTGGAGTTCTTCACACACACACAAGTGTGCCCTCTTTCATTGGTGCGCTTGTGATAGCCGCACGATTACGTTACGGGCTTACCGCGCACGTTTAGTGCCCTTTTTTGGAGATAGAGGTAGTTGAACACTCTCATATTGTAGCTTCACCGATGCTCTTATTGAAGTCTTATTTGTGTGCTTAGTTGAGACTTATTTGTAGCTTCACCGATGCTCTTATTGAAGTCTTATTTGTGTGCTTCGTTGAGACTTATTTGTAGCTTCACCGATGCTCTTATTGAAGTCTTATTTGTGTGCTTCGTTGAGACTTATTTGTAGCTTCATCGATGCTCTTATTGAAGTCTTATTTGTGTGCTTCGTCGAGACTTATTTGTAGCTTCACCGATGCTCTTATTGAAGTCTTATTTGTGTGCTTCGTTGAGACTTATGTGTAGCTTCACCGAGGCGTTGTGCGCTCTCCTCGTCGGGGTTTATGTACCCTCAGTTTGGAGTCTTCAAGGCGTCGAGCGCTTGGTGAGGCATGGCATTGACTAGTCGAGGCATGGGCCATGATCATATGTCACTTGGTGAGTTTCTCATCTCCCACGTTGTTGGGTACGTCTTTGCCCCCAACTAGCGCCATTAACGCTCATGAAAGAAAAGTATTTAAAAATTTCATAAGGATAGAAAGATGGAGTACTTAGCTTTGAACTGAAGAGGAAGGAATAGGAATTGCCGCCCTTAGGAGCACGCGTATTCCTTGTAGTACAGTGGCTCGCATGTCGGTTTCATAAACTCAGCTCCTGAGTTCAAATCACCCCGCAAGCATAATTTTTTTATGGAAGCGTGGAGTTGTAGGAGCGGGCCAGCTGCGAGTTGGAGTTGGGCCTATCCGCGTTCGAGATGAGCTAGGTCGCGGTGGGCCTGAGGCGGGCTCAACATAAGGCTTGTTGAAGCGGAGAGTGACGGACATGGTGCTGGACGCAGGTCTGTGGCGGGCTAGGACGCAGGTCTGTGGCGGGCTAGCACGCGGAAAGAAGAGCGAGCTCACAGTTGGAGGCGGACTTGACCTCGCGGGCCGGGAGATGTGAGTGATTAGCTTTGAATTGAAAAGGCGACGGCAAGATTTCTTGAAATAAGGCAGCCGCGTGAATGTTCACAACTCGAGTTGTAGCCTGCTGGTCAGTTTGCTTGTCTTGCGGAAGAGTGGTGCGGGTTCAAGTATTGATGAGTTCAGTGCATGTTGGGCTCTGGCAGTGATGCAATGCGGGCCGCGCATTGGAAGCAAGCCCAACATCCGCGAGACTGTTGTTGGGGCGGAAGTGGGGCAAAGCCCGGTGCGTGGCGCGGACGCGATGTTGGCTGCGAGTGTGGTGGTGGCACGGGTCTAGGCGTCGGCCCGGTCTGGGCCGCGCCGCGACTGGTGGGTTGCCCATCTTCGGTGAGTAAACCGCGAGTTGGATAAGCAGAGCAAGGAGATATTAAAATAAGGGTTCTGCGCCCATTTGATTTGCAGTTCTCATGTAGCCCACTGGTTCCCTTTTCTTGCACGCGAGTGACTGAACCCTAGTTTGAATCCCTTCTCCAGCGTATGATTTTTGTGATGCTTTGCACAATTGCACTTTACAGCTTCATTGGGCGGGTCGGGTGCATCTTGTGGGCCGCGAGTTGCAGCCGCACAAGTGGGCCACGAGTTGATGGTGCACGGAGCGGTGTGTGTCGGTATGGTCTGGGCCGCTCGTTGTGGAGAGCTCAGGACTTGACGTGACCCGAGATGCTTCAGCCTCAGAGGTGAAGCGGGAGCCCTAGCTAGCTTTATGTTAGAGATGCGAAAGAAAGAGGCAATAAGATAAGTCCATGCGCACTATGACCATCTGCAGATCTTGTGGCGTATTGGTTGGCACGCGCGCTAAGAAGTGCAGTTGCCCGAGTTCGAATCATGGGTTAAGCATTTTGGCTTCCTTGCTCTTCATGAAGCGTGATGGAGGTGAGTTGGGCCTTGAGGGGCGGATCTCAATCCAGGACCTGGGCCGCGAGATGGAGTTGGGCGGCGGATCATGTGACGCGGAACGAACTGCTGACGGCTCTTGAGGAGGTGCGGCGGGCCGCGAGATGACGCTTGGCCCACTTAACTGCCAGTTAATGAAAGGAACGCGAGCCCATATGGCTTGAGGTGGCCCGTGTCAATGGGTTGAACGAGTCTGGCGGACCTGAGCGAGTTGGAGGCGGACTACTGAGAACGGGTTGCAAGAATGAAGGTGGTCCATCCTTGTTTTTTTTATTTTTTATTTTTACCCAGCCGCCCCTGTGGCTTTCCGCCTCACCATTCTGCCGCCAACTCTCCTATTTTTCTCCTCAACTCCCAAACTCTCCTTCTGCGGATATGACACGATGATGATCCGTTGGCTGGGACGGAGAGGGCGGAGCGCGCTGAAAGACTTGTTACGCGCTGCCGTCCAATGAGAAGCGATGTAGTCTTCCTTCTGCAGCATCCCTTGCGCACGAAATTTGTTTGGCGGAAAGTTGGTGTCAACAGAGAACCGGTGGTTATTGGTGACGGCCGGCTATGGAAGCAAGCTCTGTTGGCGGGGATTAGTTGAAGCTTCCTTCGTTCTGAAGGCGCGCGGAGGATCTAGAAGCACTACTTCACCATCGATGAGAGGAGGTCATGGCGGAGCGAGCGCTTTGTCGCGCGGAAGTGCTTCCGCTCAATAACTCCATCTGCTTGCCTCGATTTCTGTGCATCTCGATTTATGTGCCCTGTGCTTTTTCTGACAAGGAGTGGAGGTAGAGGTAGCGTATTTTTGGGAGAAAAGTTGATGAAGACAACGACAAGACTTCTTCTTCTTTGTTCTTCGGAGACTCGGCGTCGGTCACCGATCCGGCCAAAAACGTCGTCGGAATCCGGTTGGGTTATATCTTCCTTCATTTCCGTTAGCTGCTATTGAAATCCATATTGGATCTTCTTCACTCATCCTTCTTTGGCGGTTGTTGCTGTTTGTAGTGCTGGGGAAAGGGTTTTTTTTTCTTTCTCAAAAGTGATGAAACCTGGAACTTTCTTTCCCCTGCTTTTTCTTGTAGAAGTTATATCTCCATTCAGTTGAGCTTTCACCAGGAAGTAGATCCAGCAGTTTTTTATTTATTTTACCCACTTTTGCGGTTGTTGTAGCGATTGGCGGAGGGATAGTCGGACTTGTGGTGGATTCTCCTCCTCTTTGTTGAGGTTTCCAAAATCCTCGTTTGCACAGATCACCCACTTTTTCTTCAGAAACAAGACAAATGAATGCGTGAATCAAGCCCCACGGTGGGCGCCAATTGTTTGTACCATCTAGCTCCGGTATGAACAATGATATTTATTGGTGTGGGGTTGACTCACGATCCGTTCGTCTGATCTCGTCGGGAGGGAAGTGTTAGAATATGACTTGAATTTGATTTGGGTTAGTTTTGTGTTTTCGGCGTATTTTGTTTGGGTTTGTGTTTGGGTTTTGTTTGACCTTTTTCTTGTATGTTTGGGAAAAAGGTGTTTGGTTTTCTGTTTGGGATTAGGAGAAGAGTTCTATAAATACTCTTCATCACCCTAGTCTGTAGTAGGAGTCAGTCAGGTTAGATTGTTTGGTTTGTCCGTTTGGAATTTGGTTTGTAACCTGTACTCTCCTCAAATTAGTGAAATTTGTTCTCCCTTGCCCGTGGATAGCACACATTGTGTTAGTGAACCACGTTAAATTTGTGTTCGTTCGTGTTGGTTTGGATTATCGATTGCCACGCTTCTGTTCTGACAAGTGGTATCAGAGCCGCGGTTGATCTTTGGGTTATTTGAAACTATCTTGGCGGATTTTGGATCGCGCTCCTGGTTGATCGGTTGCGCAATCGACGAGGTTTGTGGTAGAATTACATCAGGTTCTTCAATTTGATTTGTGGATTTTGTCTTAACTTGAAGAAAGCTTGTGGTTTGGGGAGAATTTTGTTTGTTGCCCTTGGTGGTGATCAGGGTTTTCGATCACCAAGGATGTTTGTTCTGGATTTGAAGACTGAGAAGTCGATTTGGAGTTGCAGGTTTGGAGTTAGCAGTAAATTTAATGTTGGTGTTATGGACGGAAATAACACCAAGCTGGTTCTGCATGGCAAGTCCCAACATGGGTTTACTGCATGTTTTGATTTGTTGATCGCCCTTAGGGGCATTTGGAGGCAAGGGAGATTCTGGTACAGCTGATTTGGAGAGTTTGGTACTTTTGGCAATTTTGATTGCATCAGAGTTTGGCGATTTGCATCGCGTTTGGTCTGGCGATATGAATCGCATTTGGATATGTCTGACAATCTTTATTGCGTTTGAGTTTGGCGGTTTCGATCGCATTTGGATACGTCTGGCGATATGTATCGCGTTTGGGTACATCTGGCAACTTTGGTTGCGTTTGGTACACCTGACAACTTTGGTTGCGTCTGGTACATCTGGTATTTGACAGAGAATTCAAGTCAAGGTGGAGATTGTTAGAATATGACTTGAATTTGATTTGGGTTAGTTTTGTGTTTTCGGCCTATTTTGTTTGGGTTTGTGTTTGGGTTTTGTTTGACCTTTTCCTTGTATGTTTGGGAAAAGGTGTTTGGTTTTCTGTTTGGGATTAGGAGAAGAGTTTTATAAATACTCTTCATCACCCTAGTCTCTAGTAGGAGTCAGTCAGGTTAGATTGTTTGGTTTGTCCGTTTGGAATTTGGTTGTAACCTGTACTCTCCTCAAATTAGTGAAATTTGTTCTCCCTTGCCCGTGGATAGCACACATTGTGTTAGTGAACCACGTTAAATTTGTGTTCGTTCGTGTTGGTTTGGATTATCGATTGGACGCTTCTGTTCTGACAGGAAGAAACCTGTGAAAGAGCCGGGGATGCCCCCCGGTAAGCTCCGACAATCAAGTTAGTTTCAGTTTCAAGAGAGAGTTGAGAGAATAAGATAGAGAGATGAGGTGTAGAGAGATAGTGGAAAATAGAAAGTGAGGGGAGAGGAGAAGTCCCCCTCCTTGGAGGGTTTCATACCTTTATATACTCGTAGCGGGTTTCGAGCGTCATACGTTATCGATTGGACGCGCTATTACTTAGTCTGTGCGCGGAGTATCTTAGTAACACCCCCAACAATAATATATAATATAATCTCAAGAGATAAATGTGAATGGGGAAGTGAAATAAAAAAGATTTTGTAAATAATTTGAAGTTAAACGTGATTAGAGTAAAGTAGTACAATGATAAATGATCTCTTTAAAAATCAGCATGGTACATCTAAACGTAAAATGGTGTTAAGTATAGAGAATACATTTAGGGGTGGCGGTTCAATTTTTGTTTTGGGTCAATCAAAATCGACTCGATTTTCAAGTCTATTGGTTTCGCTTAACGAGTAAAAATCGACAAACCCTTAGTTTTTTTCCATTAAAATTGAAAACCAATAAAATTTTATAAGATTTTAACGCAATTAAAGGGGTTTTTTTTTTCAATTTATTCTTGCCAAAATAGTTGAGCGCTTATCGGTCTCGAATTTGATCACTAGTCTCATTTTAGTTTCAGTTTCAAATGGTTATATCAATCGAACTGCCACCTCCTGAATACACAGGATATTCGATCGGCACAAGAAGTAGTATCACTCGAATAGATAGATAAACTCAAATATCGAATTTTGAATTCTATGTGTTTTTTCCAATATTTTAGAAACTCTATCATACTGCCCGGTCCAACTGGAAATACCATATATTTATGAGCAAATCCAGCACTAGCTACATCGGAACTTTCTGGTCTCATATCTAATGTAACACTCTAACCTCCCAGTATTAACCTTGACGTGTCCCCCAATTCTGCATTTGCAGCGCTTGGTGAGATACTCCCCGGCAGTAGCCAAACAGCCTGAGCACTCTTCATACGACGTCGGACACCACCTCCCCTCGCCGCCGCCGTCGCAGACCATCACCCGACTACAGTATGCGTAGCCGTACATCGTATGACGACCGCCGCCGCGGGTTGCATCTCCGGTACAGTACTTGTAGTTGGGCTTCGAGTAAGTTTTGGCTATCAACTTACCCAGAAGGTGACTCTTCGCCGGCAGCAACCCCCTGCTGCTGAAGTTTCTTTTGTTGCACATGATGGGAATGAGAATAACGCCGGCTGTGGCAGCATCATTAGTATCGAAAGCTGAAATTGTTATACATGCTAATGGAAGAAGAAGAAAAAATATGGTTGCGGCTTTCATGCTCTCTGTTTTATATTTATTAATCAGTTTCCTCACTGTGTGTGTGTCTCTGCCTCTCGTTAGAGCTTCGGTTATATAGAGAATCTTGTAGCTTTCTCCATCCGGCATCCTGTGGAACTCGGATGCTGTTGGTTTACTGACCTGAATTTCCATTATTGGGGTACGGCCATAATTGGTTTTCCATGGCTGAAACTCTAGTACCAGGGGAATCTTGATACGTCTAATTACAGCAAAGAACATTGAAATGCACGGACGTTTCTGTATTTTAATTTTGTTAGTTATACCTCGAGAATTGCCAACCGCGGTCAAATCTGTACGATATGTAAATACTACGAAAAAATCGTATTAGTCGATTTTACATGGTTAAAACTGAAAATTATTTCATATAATGAACAATAGTATAAAACCGATATGCTATTGATTAAACCACAACTATACCATTAAACTACCATTTTTCGCGTGGTATTATAATCAGCTCGGCTCCAATCGAATGATTAACCTAATGGTGGGAAGATTAAGTGTAATCCAAGTATATTTCTTTTGTGTTTCTGCAACTAAAAGTTCGACAGAGTATGTCAATCCATTATCCGAACTCAAAAGGGATTGCTTCATCAAATCGCTTACACAAGGGGGTAAGGGAGACGAGAATAGCAATATGATACAAATAAAAAGACAATGGCCCAATCGTTCAACTACAGTTAAGGTCACAGATTCCTACTAACTCCATTTTCTCCTGTGTTAGGAGCTAGTTTCGTAATACAGGTCGAATAGCAGCTTTGAGATCTTCATAAAACCTTTGCTCTGAGAACTTGCCTGCCCTTCTCCTGGCGGCTGCGGCCACCTTGAGCCTCTCATTTTCTGGCATCTCTATGACTTTAACTATGGCGTCTGCGTATTCTTCAACCGTCTTGGCTAGAAACCCTGTCTGATTCCCTTCTTCTTCCAACACAATGTCCATTTTTGGACCAGCTGAGTTATGAGCTGAGAGGGGAATTTTAGGAGCAGGGTGAGTTAATATTCTAACATTTCAACAACGATTGACAACAAAAAAAAAAAAACTAAAAAGGCTTTAACTTTTGAAGGAACACGACTTGGCTTACCTATTGGTACAGCTCCTGCAGCCATGTATTCAACGACGCTAATGCCGAAGTGCTCATCCGTCATAGAATGCAGCCCTGCAACTGCACCTCCTAGCAGGTTGATCAACTCCCTGTAAGTTAATCATGAAATCTGAGTCAAGTTTCGACCACCAGAACTGCAGCACAACAACAGGGGTTGTTAGGATGGTGGATTTGGTGATAGATTTGAGCATCAAATCCATAAGATGTTGGTGGAACCAAAAAGGGGTATCTATCACCCCATGGAATTCGGAATCCATGCGGGAATTCAGGGGCCTCACCGATTTGAAAAACCATACTGAAATCTACCAATCCTAGTGTCCTTGTAGTCATCATCCATTTTCCAATCGGCTTTTAACAATATACTCCTAAAATCGAACATCCACTCCAAAACAAGAAATTTCTCTCTGCCAAGATCAAAGAAATGAAATACACAACTCTGCAAACATATGCCAAGGTAAAAAACAGTGGACCTCAGAATGCAAACATGGAGTGATCCAGCACTTACCTGTACATCACATTCTTATGGAATTCCACATCCCCGTCTACCTTCAGTTCAACAGCTTGATCTTTTAACTTCTGCAGTCTCTCCTCATCTGCTTTGTTTCTACAGCTACCAACAAACAGTAGCTTTGGTCTTGGCAGCTTGCCATCCAACCTAGTAATGGCAAGTGCGAAGGCCTCTAGTTGCAGAGGATGAGCCTGACATATATCCAAAAAGTAAGTTCATCATTGTCAAAGACGTGCCCTAAGATTCGGCCCTAACAACGAGCCACTGAAACTGAAAGTACCTTTTTCTCACAAATGTCACTCAAATATCCCCACCTTCTCTGGGCGGAACTGTGCAACAGAAATGAATACTGGAGTCTCTGCCGGCCTCTCCAGTGGAAGCACCTAAGAAAGCAGTACCAGAATAAAGCTATGACAATGGAGCGAGAGCACAACAGTTCACGAATTTACAAACACTTAGCAAAGAGGAAACCTGCAGCCCTGAAGTATCACAAGGTGGGTAGACTCGCTTAATCCGGTCAGGAATTCGCCACAGCTTCTCGATGTGAGACCGAGTCCAGGAAGAGTTCACCATGGCTAAATGTGCGCAAGAACCAACCAACCCATACAACAAGCTGAAGAACGTGTAATAGACTAGCTTACATCGCGATAGCCAACCACTGCACCAAATATAACCGCGTTCAGACAACTTTCCCCCAAATGGGCTCCGACGAAAAGTTCAAAGAGAGCTTCTAATTTCCTTTACCTGCGAGCGATCGAGGCATCATTGTTGTACATGGAGCTCCGGCGACGGACGCGGGAGATCATGTCCAAGCTGATCGTCGGGTAATGCGTATAGCAAACGACTTTGCACCCGAACAATCGGGCAATCGGGTAAGTGAAAGCGTACCCGCTCGTGTCGAAGTAATAGAGAGGAGTGAAGCTCGATAGCGCTTCCCAGGAGAGAAGAATCGAGCCCAAGCTCTGGCCGATCATGGTGAATCGAGGGTACGTGGATTCCTCGACCCATTTCCTCTTGTAGAGATGCACCGCCTTCGGCGGGCGGAGCAATTGGACGCCGAATCGGTCGGTGGCGCGGGCGGCGAGGGATTGAGGGGAGGCGTCGTGATCGCCGGTGTAGACGATGCAATCGATATCGGGGATCTCTTCCTGTATCGCTTTGACGGCGCACCAGAGGACTCGTTCGCCTCCGCCTCCGTCGTTGGTGTAAGGGTGGAAGAAAGCGACCGCTCTCTTCCGGTGGCGACGGGAGTTAAGAATGCGGGAGGCGAGGAAGGTCGAGATGGCGATGAGGAAAGATGTGAGTAGAGAGACGGCGAGGAGAATCCCGCTCGCCATTGTTGGGTTTACAGAGAGAAAGATCCCCTCCAGATTTCAATTTTTGTAACTTTCTATGGGTTCGTTTGCGTTTCGTTTAGTCTTGCTTGCCGTTTTCACTTTTCACCAGTCTCTCTTCCGCAATACAATTTCTAGGGGTGGGTCGGGTCGGGTTGTGGTTTTTAACAGTCTCTCTTCTGCAATACGTTTTCTAAGCAGAACTGCAACATAGACGAGCTCTATCATATCAGGCTAACACGAAAGTCTTAAATAGTGTTCCGTTCTGTCATCTGCAAATGCATGTTATACAAGACGCACACATCGATGAAGCGAGTTTCGCAGGAGAGACGACAACCATAGCCTGACTTGCGACAACACCCCCATAACAGAATGACAAAATGATTGAAGAATACAGAAACATGAGCATAGATGAACAACACTGTAAATTGTAAAATCAATATTCCCTCCCGAGTTCCCGTCAGTACCGAACACTACAACTTATATCGAACCTTTTGATTGTAGATGACGGAACAGTATTTTCGATAATATACAGGCCACCCAGAGATATACAATACCAACTTGATTGTGAATTTCCTGTGCCAACCTCAGTTGCACATCTGAAGCCTGAGAGCATACCCATCAATGGCGAACGATAATCAGAATCTGCAGTAGCAAATTGACCCGGTTTCAAGGCTGCTCCTCATTGGCTCTCGGGACAAGTGGATCTGAGTAGATTAAACAGATTGCACAGCTTCAGCAAGAAGAAACTTTCGCATAATATTTGGAGATGAATGCACAAGATTTCCGATTACACCAACTGCTTCAAAATGTATTTTTGTATCCTCGGACTCGAGCACGAATACAATAGTACCCTCTGGCACTAGAATTGGTGTTCACAAATTGTTTTTCATTCTCCACGTGAATGACAACATACCTTGATCACCAGTCATGGAGTCTTCAGGTAAGGGAACAGGACATTTTTTATTGATTGGATTGATGCTCTTGAACTCGTTAGAGGCTTTCAATTCCTCCACAAGCTCGCCGTCGTGAAAAGTTACCTAACATGAAGGGAAAAAATACAACTCATGACATTTCCAATATGAAAACCCAAAAGATAGAAATGCAATCGGTAGTGATGCTACCAGGGCTCGAAGGCAATAGTGGGGAACCATACCTCTGTGTAGCGGCCCAGAAGCACTTGAAAGAAGTTGATTAAATACTCCCATTTTGATTATATACGGGTATGGATTCTTAATCATCATGCACTTTTCTCCGACAAAATCAACTCGACAACTTCCTTTACAAAGCCGAGAAAGCAATCTCTGCAACAGCTTGGAATCAAAATAGCAATACCGTTACTACATTTTGCGATCTCCTCAGTGTGATTGCACACAGGGCTAGGGATTGAACGCACGGCTCTTCTTGAATGATCCAAGCCACATGCTGCTAAAATTGTATGCGTGGAGACCCTTGCTACTTCCTTGAATCTCTTTACCCCTAAATGTTTGCCACCTCTCAAAAGCTTTAAGTTGAGCTTCACAAGTGACTGGATCTCTGTTTTTGCCTCATCATCCTGCCCTCTGTCACCAACAGCAACAGCCTTACGGGATGCAACATTCCCATTAACGACACCTGCCTTTGTGGGGGTTAATGCAGAGGTTTGCAAAGACCCTGGTAATACTGCAGTTGACAAACAGGATGCTCCATTCTTCTCATCCACGCGACTCTTGGAACCACTTCCAACTAGTTTCCGGGACAACTCATTATGTCTGTTCTCATGAACAACATTTGAACCAGCAGAGGAAGATGCCACTGAGAGTCTGCAGCTAGGCCCCGCACTATCTTTCGTGGTTACTTTTACATCCTTTTGCATTTTGGAGTGAGCCTTTTGTGTACAGAATGAGGGTACCTGCTTCTCGGTTTTTCCCCGGGAATAAAGCTCATGTGTTCCAGGAGTGGCACCTCGGCACTCCTTAGTCCCAAGTTGATGGGTTTTTGAGGAATGCAATCTCAAGCTTCTATTATCAGCTTCTTTTGAAGTACTCACCCTGACTGAAGGACATTTAGATACCTGCTGCATACTTTTCGTGCCTCTTTGACATGCCAATTGTACAGATTTTGCCTGAAGCATCATTTTCCAAGCTTTATCTATGTCATCAGATCGTGTTTCTTGACTAGCACTAGCAGTGCCAGGAGAATCGTTCGTAACCCCAAGTTGCTGGGCATTCGACGTAGGCAAGCAATTTTGCTTAGGCAAAACAGCAGCTGAACTTTGTCCTGCATTGCTACTGCTATTAATCGATTCATTTGAACGGAATCTCAAGGACCCACTTCGCAACCCATCCCAATTCTCACGGATTGAGCGTATGTAAGTGTGCACATTACGACATCCTGTCAGCGTTCTAGCCCCATTTTCAGCAGCTGCATTATCTGCCACATTCCGGTTTCCTAACGTACTTTCATCTAGCTCAGTATGGGTGGCACTTCTTTTACCTGGTCTAGTAACTTCTTGCACTCTCCGCTTCCGCCACCTACTAGGCATACACCAATCTTGCTCGTGTACTAGATCACGAATAGAAACACTTGCTTCTTCTGTCTCCCTCCCACTAGAGGTTTCACCTGCATCATTGTCCTCGTCAGTAGGCTGCTTGTCCCTCGAAACGCTAGATTCGCCATCTAGCTTTCCTTCCAAATCTCTACTGCCACAAACATCATCATCATTATCTGGTTGAATGCTATCATGTTCAGTCCTAGAAACAGAACAATCATGGCAAAACCAATCTCCCTCGGGCACAGTGGCACCGAGGCCTACGCAGAAGGTGTGAGACGCAGAATCACAAAGATCGCAAAGCAGTAATAAATTCTCCTCGTGTGTACCATGGCATACAGCGCATTCAACGTGAGCAAAAGGATCAAAAGGCCGATCCCCCGCGACGACGCCATACTGATTGCGCTCGGGGACAGGAACGACGCGCTCGGTACGGAAAACGCCAGCTTTGGAAGGTCTGCGAATGGCGGTGAACCTGCGCTTGCACATAGGGCAACGAGACTCGATCTTCGCCCACTCCATGATGCAAACGAAGCAGAAGTAGTGATCACAGCTGTCGATGAAGCCTCTGATTGCTTTCCCGCCGTCGGACCAGCAGATTCCACAGCATATAGAAGAATCGCCACCATCCGTCGGCATAGGTTGCTTCCCTTTGGTTTCTGATCCGGATACTGCCTCGCCGATGTCTTCGATGCCCGTCGAACTGGAAATCAGGGTTTTGAGGCGCTTGTTTGGGGATGAAACGACTGTGGGTGGCGGAGAGCCTGAGCCACTCTCCATCAGGTAGATGCTTAGTTGCCGCAGTTCCTCTCCGTCGCCGGATACTTACCGGGAATTGCCGGCCTCTAATTTCTCAGGTTATCTCCTTTATTCTAAAAATAGGGCAAACTAACCGCTTGCAGTTATAAGTTTTATAACTATTTCCCCTCCTCTTCCTCTTCCTCTTCCTCTTCCATAAGTTTTCCGCAATACGTTTCCATGGGTCATTGTAAAAAAAAAAAAACGTTTCTAGAAGTGGTGGGGTTAATTTTGGTTAATCAAAAACCAAACCAATAACTCGGCTTTGGTTGTTCGGCGAAATCAGGAATTTGTTCAGATTACATGAACTCTTCATGCTTTCATACAAAATGTTATGAAATTATAGCCAATTCTACATCACATGTAGCTTGGTTTGGCGCACGCGAGTGTTGCAACTTGCGACATAATCTAGTTCGTCGAAAAGAGTTCAAGGAGAGAGAACAACCAGGGCCTGGCCTAATGGAACGACAAAGTGATAGAATGCGAAAGGTTGAATGTAGTAAACTATACAGTAAAATCAATGACTTGCAAAGAACCTTCATAGTAGGAGAACCGAAGGTGGGATAGACAGAAGAAAAAGTATTTCCGGCAATGTACCAACTCGAGAAAATCCAACCAAAGGAAACAAGAAATGGCTTCAACCAACATATAGCTCTTACACAGTGTTAGAAGAAACAGAAATTGCACATGCCAAAAGAGTAATGAGAATACAGGCAATGTCAGAAATGGCAAATTATAGAACTAAACCAGAGTCGATTACAAATGGGACTGTCTTTGTACTGGGGAGCGAAAACTCCGAAAATTCGTATAAAAAGACCACCTAAGCAAATCAAGGAAAAGAAACAAGGACAACAGAGCAAAAAAAAGAGTTAATACAGGTCCCAGAAGATTGTCTACTTGTACTCTCCTACCAGCAGGAGAAGGAAAAAAAAACTTGCCCTTTCCCTAAGAACAAAGAATATTACAACACTTATCCACACAAAAACAACCAAAACTATAAAGGACCCCTCACAGAGAAAAGTGGCAAATTATTAATCCAATTACACCTTCATATATGTTCCCCAGAACTCCCACCTACAATGCAAACGTCAAAATCCCGACCACCCCTACATGTGAAGGCGCTGACAAAGCCAGCCATATGACACCACCAGAATAGCAACTACCGACTGCTTCCCTCTTCGAAAGGTGCTGCTCTGCAAACCGCAAAGATAACTCGGAACTAATTTCTACAAAACGCGCGGCCCCAGTCAAAAAATCAATAGTTCCCCATTGGAGGCATCCCAAACTGCTGCATCGGGGGCATTCCCATCCCGCCCATCTGTGGTGGCATGAAACCGCCAGGCATCCCTGGCCCACCCATACCGGGCATTGGAGGTGCAGGCAATGCAAGGGGAAGCAACTGGGCATACATGTTCTGCAAAGGGAAATCAACCAGTCAGAGATCCAAAATCATTTAAGCTTCAAAAACAATCTCCGGGAGTTTCTGCGTTAGCAGAGGAAACTCGATGTCAAAATACAGTGCTCAATAGAGCTGTAGCTCTTTACTATAGGAGGAAACTTGAGGTCTTATTATGTGCAAGTCGAGTCTTTACCTGCTGGGCAATCACATCCTTCTCTTCCTGTTCCTTGGCCTTAACTTCCTTCTGAGCCTCAAGTTTGTCTTTTACAAGCTCGTCAACTTTGCCGGTGTATTCACGAATGAACTGCAAGGAAGAAGCTACGTAAATAAAGTGAACACCAAACAATACCATACAGTACTCATATCGAGACTTGAAAAGATACTGGTTCCCTATTCGCGGCAAATTGTAACCCAATCTGACGACTATATATCCGCCTATTCAAAATCTAGCATACACCACATCACAAGTTTCAGACAGAATAGAACAGATATTGATTCGAAATTTTATTCTACCAATCCAGATCAGATAGTCCATGAACCAGTCAATCCATTTTATAACCAAACACATTTGTCAACTCTAGGTCCCACCAAGAACAAAGACATGAAACAATAGAAACCAAGAAGACCTACCTGTAGCAGATATGGGAAGGCAAAGTCGATCATATTGTTCATCCAGGCAAGTTCAAGAGCGACATCTGGCCGTATCAAGTCATAACAGACAAAGAGGCATGAAGCAAAGCATTCCTTCTTGCCCTGCAGATAAACCACAATATACAAGGTTTAATTGGAGGCAACAAACAGCCCACAGTTCAATCGAAAGTTCGTTGAACAAGAACGAAACAACAGCAACCAACTGAATGAATGAAAACTCACCTTTTCAATGAAATAAACAAGCAATTCTTCAGCGAGTTCACGATCACCAGATTGTGAAGCAGTTTCCATGGCATCTTTATATAGGTTATCCTTCTTAGACAATGCAATCGACTGCTTCCATCTGCCAGCCTTTTTGTAGATATATGCAGCAACACGTCTCATTTCAAGGAGCTCGTGCTTCTCAATCTGATATAATACACAAGGAGTCCAGTCAGAAATTCATAACAACAAAAAGAGAGACAGAATACAGGGGCAAACTGCCCTCACCTTCTGAGCAAGGCCAATCTGATCAAAGTTGTCATGTAAATCAATTGACTCTCTTAATCTATCATAGTCCTCTTCCTCAACATATATCTGATTCAAAGCCTCATTCACAGCAGACACATTGTTGCTCTGAACAGCAACCATATATGGCTTCACAAGAAGCAAGTGCCCAGCCTGAAAAAAAAAACAAAGAAAGGTGACTTTAGCATAGAACCAACGAACTGTTTATCAAATTCAGTACATGCACAGACAAGTTAACTACCTTCCGCATGATGTCAACGACACGAGTATGGTCAACACGGAGAGCCAATACATTTAGGAGATCATTGATAAGATCAGGATGCTCTTGCAAGTAGAAATGCACCGCCTTGTAATATAGCTCCACATTGGCAACCTTGACCACAATATCCTTGAACTGCATGTGGTCCCAGGCCTCCGGAGAATGATTCATTACAGTTGCAGCAGCATTATCGAACTCGTCATATTGGATGTAGAGATAGGTGAGTTCCTTCCAATGCTGCTGTTCATCACATGCTCTGATGAGTTTGGGAATATTGAGACGGGTTGAGAACAACTTAATATGCTCCATAAGCTTCTCATAGCGGTATCTGGCATAGAGAACTCCCAACTCAGTGAAGATGCCCATATGTGCTCGTTCCAATCCTAGACCACTCTCCATCAGAGAAATTAATTCATTGAAGTATCCTCTGTTCTGATAATACTCGCTAACCTCTTCCAGATCATCCACCTGAGGGTGGTAAGCACATGACGGGAAAGAGTAAGAATCATTTTCAACAAACAAATAAGCAAACATGGATCTTAAAAGTGGGAAGGTAAAGACAAACTACATAATTACCTGCACAATGATATTCAAACCACACATTTGGGCCAAGCGGAACTCTTCAGCATCAACACAAGCAAAGCACACTTCCTTCCATGTTTTTGCACTGTTGGCCTTCCGCGCTGCATCGACAGCACCTTGAAACTGTTTCAGCTTCACAAGGGTACAAGCCAACTTTGCCCAGTTTGATATGAAGGCAAATATTATTTTTGCGGCCTCGTACAGAGCATCATCATATAGACGATCACCAACAAGTTGGAGATTAGCCACATTTGGCATAAGAATGAATTCCTCTATTTCACCTAACCTATCAATCTTGGCATATGCAAAAATGAGCTCGCTGTCCACCTTGGGCTCTTTCGTTTTTTGCCTAACCATCAGAAGGTATTTCACCAGATCATGATAGACATCAGCCTCTTCGGCTGCACGAATGACCTCATGAAATTGAGTGGCATCATCTGCACGAATAAATGATTCAATTGCATCAGAAACCAAACCCTCCCTGAGTTGAGCCTTGGCAACTTGGCTCCATACAGCATCTTCTTCAACACGGAATGCAAACTCGACAGCCCGGTCAATGCTCCTGATGTTATCCAAAAGAACATTCACAGCCTGAACATTCAAATTGAACTTCTTGAAAATTGCAAACGCTTCTTCATAAAGCTGAGCTTCAACGGCCACTTCCCCAACAGCAGGACCATCAAAGTTATCCAATCTGTTGATGTAATCCATAACCCTAGAGGGATCTGCCTTAATTGCTGTCAAGATAAGCAGATTTTGAAGATTGAAGTTGCCACTGAATGCAGAATTTTGAAGCACAATCTTTTCAAGAAGCTCAATCAACTCATGTGGAAGGTCAGCAGTCATGAACGCCTTAACAGCAGCAGAAACCTGTTCTGGGCTCTTGCTTTCAGGTAAGGCCGTAGAAACAACTTGGTCAATGAGCTGACGTCTGTACTCATTTTCAGGGTCAAGAACCTTCTCCCAAAGATCAGATTCCATCCTTTCAACAACATACCTATAGCCAAAAATAAAGCCATGTAAGTCACCAATTTTAGAAGTGACTACTACAAACAAGAAACAGGTTATTGAAAATTGCCTACAACTCATCGAGAAACAACAAACCTGGCTTGTAATTTAAACAAGGAGTTCTTATTTGTGACATTGATAAGTTCATCATCACACTGCCCTCTTCGGTAAGCCACAACAGCAAGGGTGGGATCACGTTTCTCACAATACTTACCAACGACCTTAGAGTCGTAGTAAGGGTTTGTTGTGAGAAAGTGCTCTGGATTGTTGTTGCTATCAATGATGATCTTACCCAGTGCATTGTGGACATGCACATCTTGGCTTCCCTCACTTACCAGGTGCTCCAAGAACTGAGTAAGCAAACGAAGCCGGTTTCTGCAGAGACAAGCAAAATATTAGAACACGTAACAAGACAACATACAGCCAGAAAAACGCAGCTAGACACATGCCTCTTTTCACATTCATCAACAAGAGGCTCCACTGGCAGCAGAGAACGAACAGAAAGAATAAGACCCTTGATGAAATCTTCAGGACATTCGTCATCCAACAACTGCCCAACAACCAATGGAGCATTTCCTGGGTTCACCTACAAAGAGATGGTAAACAAAAGATAAGATTTTACCCAACAACCAATAGAACACAATCCATCAAGACAAGAATCAAACCAAAATGAGAATAATA